CTGGGAGGCCTGCCGGGCCAGTCTGCCGCGACGAACGCGGATCGAGGACTGTCGCAGGCCTAAAGTTGACACCAACACCAATATCGGCGGTGTGCCTCCACCGAGGGAAGAAGATCCCGATCTCGGTGATGGTGGTAATATTCTGGCTTCCAAGGTGACGGAAATATTGCCACCAACACCGAAAATCTAGGATCATCTTCCCCCTGTGGAGGCAACCCCCTGTGTTGGTGTTGGTGCCAATTTCCAGGCCTCCAAATCTTGTAGATGTGGACGTTTCTGGCCCTGCTGTCGTGCACGGTGGGCGTTTCTGGCCCAAATCTGGTAGATGTGGGCGTTTCTGGCCCTGGGCCGCGTTCTCTCCACAAGAGGCGGCACCGGCCCCCCATGGGTGCACGAGCAGCTCCACGTGGCGGGCGCCCAACTCGACGCCCGGCCCGCTGCGGAAGCCTGGCGCGCGCGCGCGCGTGCGGGAGGCCTGCCGGGCCACTCTGCCGGTGACAGACGCGGATCAGCTGCCTCGGCCCCGCTTGGACGCCGAGATCGTGGCCCAGAGATCCAAAAGGTATTGAAAAAATCACGACGGAAGTTTCTTACAGTTTTCGGCCTCTATAGGGGCCCTCACCGGGCCTCGGGGCCGTCAACCAACGACTCAGGATGAAACACCGGTCCTGGGGAATGGGTCGAGACTTCAGGGGACACCGTATTTCAGAGACCCGAATCATCAGGGATAACTCGGGTCAGGGCTAACTCGGGTTCGTTTTTCGGGAATCCAAGCCCGAGTTATCCCGGGCCCGAGTTTCCCCGGATAACTCGGGCGCCCAAGCATTGAACAAATCACGACAAGCGCCCTCCTCCAAGCGCGGCGGGGCGCAGGCCGCAGGCGGCGGGCGGCCGAGCCGCCCGTCGCCCTGAGGCGGCCAGGCCGCCGGAGCCGGGTCGTCCGCGCGGCCGCCGGGCGCTCGGGGTCTGCCCAGTGCGGCCGTGCTCGGCGTTGGGCCGGCCGTCGGGCTCCATTCAAACGACGCGACGAGCGGGACAAACTCGGATCGGGGTAACTCGAAATCTCTCGGCCACGCGCAGAGGGGGGTGGGGGGAGGGGGGGAGGCTTCTTAGAAGCACCCCTGCTTCTTAGAAGGCGCGGTCCTTATGTATAGATGTAAGGCCGCCGCCTTCTAAGAAGCAGCCTCCTTCTAAGAAGCCTTCCCCCCTCCCCCTACCCCCTTCTGCGCGCCGCCATATCTCTGAGAATCGGCGGGTTTGGAGGATGTATTGGGCGCCGCGGCCGCTCCAGAGCGTTCCGGAACGCTCTGAGAGCGCTCCGGAACGCTCTGGAGCGATTTATGCCGATCCTAGCCCTGTTTTATTCATCCGTCGGGGGACACGTAAGACTCGAGTACGCCGGAATTCGGCTTTGCCGACGTCTTTTGACGAGCGCGTCCTGGGTTTTTTTTCGGTTCCGTTTTTGCGGGACGTTTGCAGGGGGAGCTCGCCTCAAATTTCAGATTGGGTCCCGTCATTTTTATGAAGGCCCCGTCAGGCCAATCCGAATCCCCCGTACCCGAGTCTTACGTATCCCCGAATCCGATGCGCCCGCCACTGCGAGATTTCGGCGGCGAGGGTGAAGCAGCGGCGGAGCGCCCTGGCTCGCCTGCAGGCCTGCCAAGGCATGTTCTGGGAACCTTTTGTGGTCTGCGCGAGATGTCCTCAGAGCATTTCTGGCTGAGGTCGTCTTGTTTCAAGGCATACGGCATCTGGTCTAAGAGCATTGCCTTGTTCTTGGAACATTGCGGGGTTTTAAGAACATGTCGTAGTAGGCCTATAGACATGCTGGGACTGTCAGTCCCTGCTCAATGGAGAGGGGGTGGAAGTCGGATGGAGAAGGCCTCCTCAGAAGGCCTCTGGACTTCTCAGAAGCCCTCGCGCCTTCTTAGAAGGCTTCCGTGTCTTCGGGGCAGGCTTATAGACGACTTCTCAGGAGACCGGCGGACTTCCGAGCCCTTGGAAGGCCCGCCTTTTGTGGGCCTTGGAAACGACAGTGCCGTTTTTGAAAACCTGTTCCGTTTTGTCGTTGTTGTTGCTGGTTCCGGCGCCGTTTTTGCTTCCAGGTCCGTCGCCGTTTGTTGTTGCCAGTTCCGGTTTCGATTCCAATTCCGGAGTCGTGATGTCGCCGTTTCAGGCTGCCGTTTTTATTCCCCTCCGTTCTCAGTTTGTTCAAGAGACGCCGTTTCGGAAACGATGTTCAAATGGCAGGGCCCATGATACAGTGGAGACCCATGCCAAGAAACACTCTGCTTGCCTCCAGGGTGCCCTAAGTTTCTTGGGCTTCGATGGTCTTGCTTTCGAAAGCGTTACGTCCCCACACCAAAAGTCAAGGAACGTCCTGGGGTCTCAGGGTTGGGGTTTCTTGTGGGAGGTTTCTTGTGTGGTCGGGCCCCTGCTATGGGGGCCCGCCCTCTCTCACTGTTCCCCCCCTGGGCTCGCCGCCGACAATCTACAGGCCGCGGTGCCGTGGTGCGGAAGCTGGCCCGAGGGATGTGGAGGACCGAGCACTTTCTCCGGGCGGAGCGTAAAGCGTGAAAGCTGAAATGGCGTTTCGATTGATCTTCGAGGTTTGCATCTGCAAAACGTGAATCAAAAGACGGATTGATTCCCGAAGTGCAAAAGCCCACATGGATTTCACCCTGAGCCCTCGACCCTACGAAAATGCCCAGGGAGAGGGGGGCCAGCGGGGACACGGACGTCGCCTCTTGGCCTTCGGTCGGGCGTGTCCCCCTACAGGCGGAGTTTGGAAGAAAAACAACAAATAGTCAACAAACAAATTCACAAACAGCCAGTAATCGGGAGTCTGGGTATTTGTGGCATTGCAACAGATATGGGGCGTGCGATGCATTCTGGCGCGCGAACGTGTTTGATAGTTCTTCGCGTGCAGCGCATTAGTTGCAGTACTATGACATCGAATTCTCCAGCGCAGTACATGTGCAATACAATTGCCCAACATTCCCCTTTGAGGGAAACCAAGGGGTCGCAGCTGGGAAAACTGATGCGTCTGAACGCTGGTGTGGTCTGGGGGGCAGAATTTTACCGGATTTCATCCGCCATTGTCTCAAGCTAAATTCTTCCAGAAAGTATTCTTCACGCTTCGCGTATTCCCACCAGCCCAGTCCGAAACGTTGCCGATGAGAGCTGGTCTTGTTGCCCTCTTGCGGTCCTCTTGTGGAACTCTCGAGTCCCTGTTTGGACCCCTTGGGGCCAGTCGGGGCCCTTGGGGCGATCCGGGGACAGATTTTGATCGGAGCTGCCGTTTGTTGAAAGTTGGGGCGATCCGCCGTTTGTCGAAAGTTGTCGGAGGTGGATAGACCTCCTACCCTGACACGTCGATTCAGGAATTGGCCGCGTTTTCGGCTCGCGGGAGGGCGCCGCGGCCGCCACTTTTGCGGGTCCAGGTCCGTCGGCTTCGGTCCCAGGCCGTTTTCGCTAAGGGGAGGTTTGCTAAAGGGAGGTTTGTCCACCGCCGAAGCTGCGATCCGCCGTTTGTCTATTCAGGAGGGGAAACAACACACAGACACAATCCATCGTCGACCTCCCAGAACATACAGGAAACTATGGGGAGTGGGGGGGAGACAGAAACCAGAAGATACGGGAACGTAGGGGGAATCCTTTCACTTGTGTGCCTTTCTCTGTGTGTCCCAGGGCCCTTCAGCTTTGTCCGCCGCCGACGCTGCGCTCCGCCGCGTGTCCGACGCTGCCCTCCCCGACAAAAAACACTGGTGCCTCTGGGCCGCGCAGGCCGCGGGAGCTGCCCCGGGCACCGCGGCCCGCGCCCCGGGGTCGGTTTTCCGGGCGTCGGGGCGTGCCGCCTGGCCGCGGGCGAGCTCCGCTCCGCCGCGCCTCCTGCCTCCCCTGCTCCCTCCTCGGTCCCTCTCCCTTCTGTCCCCTCCCTCCTCCTCTCTCCCCTCTTCCTCCTCTCTCCCTGCTGCTCCCCGCCTCCTGCCTCGCCCTCCTCTGGACTCCTCGCTCCTGCCGCGCGCCCCTGCTTGGTGCGCCCCCTCCTTCGCGTCTCCCTGCGCCTCCCATCAGCTCCGCCCTCCCCCCCCATCCCCGTCCCTGCCTCGCCCTCTCCCCCTGCTCCCTCCGCAGTTGTGCAATGTGAGTACCAGGCTCCTCTCCCCGGATGACGTCCAGCAGATATTCGCCCCCTCTTCCGCGTGCTGGCTTTTACAAGGGTTCCCAGGGCACTGGGTTCCCGCTCGTTTTTCAAAATCCTGCTCCCGCGGAGGCGCTGGCTTCAGTTTCGGGCTTCCGCTCGTTCCGGATCGTGCCCCCGCTGCAGCGGTGGCCTCATTTCCGCGCTTCCGCTCGTTCCGAAGCGTGCTCCCTCTACAGCGCTGTTCCGCTCGTTCCGAATCGTGCTCCCGCTGCAGCGTTGGCGTCATAATTGCCAGTGCCATGCCACGGCGACGTTTTTTGTTTTTTTCCAAATCGGCCCCAAATCCAGAAAGTGCCCCCCCCCGACAAAAAGCATCGGACATGATTCCAAATTTGGTGTCGATTCGTTGATTTTGTGGGCCGCAGAAGCCCCTCCCAGTTTGGGACGTCGCCACGCCACGCTGTGTCATGCTACCTGTTGATCTTCAACACCATACTGCACCATGGAATGCTATGCCATGCTGCGGCAACCGCCTGTGCGAACAGAGAGGAGCTCTGCGCCATGGTAGGGGCTGGGAGGGAGGGGCAGGACGCCGGAGCTGACGCGAGGGTACCTGGCTGGCCTCCCCCCCCTTCCCCTCCCTCCCTCCCTCCCCTCCCCTCCCTCCGCCCCCCCCCCTCTCCCTCCCTCCCTCCCCTCCCCTCCCTCCCTCCCGTTCCCTCTTTCCCTCCCTCTCGACTCTCCCCATCCCTCCCCCTCCGCTCTCCCCCCTCCGCGTTCCCCCTCCCCATCCCGCTCTGCCCCCCTGCGCTCCTCCCCCCCTCCCCGCCCGGCCGGCGGCGGCGGCGCGCAGGACCACGTCGAGTGGTGCAACGTGGCCAAGGAGTCCGCCGCCGCGAAGGCCCGCCTCCGCGGACGCGCCGCCGCGCCGCCGAGGGCGAGGTCTCCTGCCGTGCGAGGCCCGAACACCACCACGTCACGAAGTTTGGACCACGGGGCCCACTGAGGCCCCAGGGGCCCCAGATGAGTGACGTGATGTTTTTCCCATGTATCAAGCAGTGGCGAAGCGTCCTGGCTCGCCTATAGCCCTACCAAACAATGTTCTAAGAACCTCTTGTGGTTCCCACGAGATGTTTTTTTGAACATTTCTGGCGGAGACTGTCTTGGTTTAACACATCGGGTTAATGTTCTAAGGACATACATTGTTTATGTTCTTAGAACATTTGTGCGTTCTAAGCACATTTTCGTGGTAGGACTAGAGGAATGCCGGGATGGTCGGTCCCTGCTCAGATGTAAGGACCCCGAAAGCCATCTCTCCACTAAGCCGA